CTGCTGCTCCTGGTTCTCATGATTCTCACCCTTCTTATGGTATGTCTCTTTTAAATCAACGTGATGATCTTTCATCTGTTCGTCCAGGTGGTACAAAGGCCCCCGGCAGTACGATGGAAATTCAAGGTGTTAATGGTTTGCCTGGTGCAGATATTAAGAATGGGAATCGTCCTGTTGTGACCAATAGTGTTACTAAAGGTGAAAGCGGTGTTTTGAACAGGAACGAGATGGATGGAGAGCAGAAGGTGATGGAACAAAAGCTAGGTAACACATTAGAAGTTCAAAGGACTTTGAACGCGAGTAAACCGGGAACTGTCCTGTCTTCTTCTCCTCCTGTACAAGATCACAGTGGCGATCAAACGGATGTGTTGTCTGAACAAGCAAAGAATACGCAGAAGCAGCCAGTATCCAGTGAGTCAGGTGAGAGGAGAACTCAGGGGCAACAAGAACAGATAAAGGAAACCACACAAGGTACTCAACAAGATGACCACAATACAGAAACAAATGCCACAGGTACAACAAGTACTGAATCCCATTTTACTGCTGACTCAAAACCACATCCTACTACAGACGCAACACCTAGTGAAATAACTCAATCTGGTCTATCTATTGATGATTCAAACACACTAAATAACACGAGCACAGAGCCCAACAGTACCACTGATAATGTGACAACGGCAGAGAATGAATCAACAAATGGTGTCGATACTGTGGGTGCATCAGCAGAAGGGAAAACCACAGCAACCACGATCTCTGTTACTCTCAATACCACCAGTAATGAGGACTCAACCTCACCTGCTACCAACACAAGTACAATTCCTCCTGTCCCTGAAATCAGCAATAACACCATAATGCCCAATGTGAGGGGTGATGCAGACAGCAGCGGTATCAGTTCTGTGTGGGTGCGTGTACCACTACTGATTGTAGTTACACTGACCTGTATTCTTGTGTGCTGATTGTAATGGTGGTGTGACTCAGGTCATCCTTTGTTTTCTTTTCTTTTTTGCATGCATTACTACATTCTAACTAATCTTTTACCTGTTGGGATTCTTTCTACTGTTTTTTTGTTTCTTAATTTTATTGTGTTTTGTGTGTTTTTCGCTATATGCGTTTATCCTATAATAATTATTATTATTGCTACTCCATTGTGTATGTGTGTGTTCTTGGGGACTCTCTTTGTGTGTGCACCTGGGCTTGCACTGTGATAATGATGATGAATTGCGTTTTGCAGTGGGAAAAAGGAAATAATAATAACAGATGAATTTATATTTATAATTGCGTATATATACACATATAGACTTACACCCATAGTTGGTGTATATTTCTGTGTTTATTGGATAAATTGGGCTAATGGTTAATATCTGCTTTCTTTGCTTGATGATTTTGCTGGGTGGTTTAGCCTTTTTGAGATATTTGTGAGTGTGGGCTTCTTTTTTGTTTTTACTCTTACTGAGGTTATTTGCGCTCTATTGCATTTATTAACTGGAGGGTTTTTTTTGTGATGTGAGGTTTTTGGTAGTTTACTATTTTTGCTTCCTTAAGTGTTTGATATAATATTTATTTTCTTTTTCTTTTTTGCTTATTTTCTATCGTTACACCAAAATAGACGTCATTGTACCTCAGTGATATTATTGAAAAGAGTGTCTATGTTGGCTTGCCGTGTGTTGTGCCTGTGGGCTATTCTTTTCTGCTGTGTGAGTGTGAGTGGAGCCACAGAGACTGTCGAGCATAAAATTGAAATCAATAAAGAATTGAAAAGCATTACTGAGATGGCAGACGAAGCCGTTGCATTTGTTAAAGAAGCAAATGCGACGAGGAATGAGACTTTGCATTTGAAGGATCAATGCAATGCAGCTGCAGAATATGCTACATACTTAACCAGAGAAGCCACAACGTTTGTCGAGAGTCTTGATCAGTTCGTCAAAACAGCTGAGAATGACCCGTCCGATGGGGAGGCTGAGAAGAAGAAAGGCGATGAACTTCTCGAGAAGATTACAAATGCCGCAGCCGATGCAGAGAATACTGCAAGGTTAACTACAGCAGCAACAGTTCCGACTATTGAATATGGATTGGCTGCTCGGCAGCTATTAATTTATTTTATCTACTCATACGAAAAAAAGAAATCATCCATGGAACAACCCGATGGTGGCGATAAACTAAAACAGTTGGAGACTATTCATAAAAAGGTAGAGACCGCATTCCCTTACACGAATGGAACGGCTCTGTCAGAACTCTCGTTAGGTGCCCTAATCGCCGCAGAAGATGCAGACGAGGCAGCACTAAAAGCTGAAGCTGCAGTGAAGTCTGCTAAAATAGCTGCTAACCTTTTAATGGAGGCCTTAAAGAAACTCGAGGAGGTGATTACTGCTGCTAAGGAGAGAATCAAAGAAATACCACCACGACAAAATCAAGGATCAGCGAACACTACAGGGGATAAAGGTGTACCTGGCGACTTTACCACTAACAAGCAACCATCTTCTGCAAGTACGACTGTCACTTCAGACACACAAGAAACTAATCCCACTACTCCGCCGAGCATCGAGAACACTACCACAGATGCATCAACCACCACGACAACAACAACAACACTTCCTTCTGCTTCTACCACAGAGATCACTAACAGCATTGCATCCACCGTGCAGAAGAAGACTAATGTTGACAGCAGCAGTGTCAGTCCTGTGTGGATGCGCACTGCAGCACCGCTACTGATTGTGGTTGTGTTGTTCTCCGCTACCGTGTACTGAACGGTGGGACTCATCTGAGGGCAAATAATAATAATGATTAAACTAACATAACCATAATTGCGTATATCCCCCATGGGTGAATGAATAAACTAATAATCTGTTTACCAGCTTTCTCTTTTAATTCGAATTTCTTTTTTTTTACTTTTGTGTGTGTGTTCTTTTTCTAATAATTCCATTACTTGCTTTTCGCGTTGTGTGTTTGCAGAAAACTGGGCTGTTCTGCTCACTGACGGTATTCATCTCTTGCTAGTACACTCAGATGTGTGTGTGTGTGCAGTAATTTAATACATAAACTAGAGCCATGGAGTATTGTGTGTGTGTGTTTGGCTCTCTCTCTTATTTGGGTATTGTGTGATGTTTTTTTTTTATTTTTCTATTAATGGGTACATAATATCACTATAATCTGGATATTCCTTTTTCTTGCTTTACTGTGCAGTCACTGCTTCTCTCTCTCTCTCTCTTTTCCACTGTGAGTATATGTGTCCTATATCCACTCTCTATGTCTCTCTCTCTCTTTTTTACTTTTTTCCATACTCCCTTCGTAGATCGGTGAACTCAAGTGACAAGAAAGACAACAAAAACAACAGGAAAAGGAAGATCAATGCTACTGATGCGCCACGTGCTGTGTATCCTCGCTCTCCTGCTCTCATGTGCGTGTGTGCACGTCCTCGCTGAAGAAGTGCCTGCCGCCGATCTTTCCGACCAAGTCCCTGATACGGAGAGTGAGACAAAGATTCTTCTTCAAGGTACTCCTGTTGATTGCACTAATGGTAAGACTTGTCCAAACGAAGATGAACAATGTGAAACAGCTGAAGGAGGAGAGAAGCAAACCTGCAAAACACCAGCGGAGGTGTCAGGTCCAAAACAAGGTCAAGACAGAAAAGAAAAACAAACTGAGAGCGAACATCCTTTGCAAAACAACGCACAACCTTCGGAACGTGCTCCTGGTAGTCCTGATATTTCCACGACAGAACAGATCAGAGAACAAACTGCACAAAGGGATGAACATAAACAAGAGGAAACCTCCGATAGTGAACAGGAACAACACAAATCTGTCGGTGGACCAGAAACAGTTAAACCTGGTACAACACAAGTCGACAGTAGCAGGGATCACGAAACACCAGCTGCAAATGCACAGGGAAGTAATACACTATCTCAAGGAGCTCCAAACACACAACCTTCTTCTTCTGTAACCCAATCCGGCAATTCGGACACAGAGAATGCCAGTGAAAGCAATGCTGCTGCGAGTGAAAATATTGCCACAAATGCGCAGAGTGAGTCAATAAACAACCAAGAAGGTAATGTGGGTAATACAGATACACCCACCACTACCACAACAACAACAACACTTCCTCCTGAACTCACAAACAACAAGAAGGGTGATGCAGACAGCAGCAGCAGTATCAGCAGTTCTGTGTGGGTGCGTGTACCACTACTGATTGTGGTTACACTGTCCTGTATTCTTGTGTGCTGATTGTAATGGTGGTGGTGTGACTCAGGTCATCCTTTGTTTTCTTTTTTTCTTTTTTGCATGTATCCCTACAATCTAACTAATCTTCCACCTGTTGGAATTTCTTTTTCTTTTTTTGTTTCTTAATGTTAATGTGTGTTTATGTGTGTTTTTGCTCTATGTGTTTATCCTAAAATAATTATTATTGCTGCTACTCCATTGTGTGTGTGTGTGTTCTTGGAGACTCTCTCTCTGTGTGTGCACCTGGGCTTGCACTGTGATAATGATGATGAACTGTGTTTTGCAGTGAAAAGAAAAGAAAGAAAATAATAACAGATGAATTTATATTTATAATTGCGTTTATATACATACATATAGACTTACACCCATAGTTGGTATATTTCTGTGTCTTTACTGGATAAATTGGGCTAATGTTTAATATCTGTTTCTTTACTTGATGATTTTGCTTGGTCGTTTAGTTTTTTTTTGAGATACTTCTGAATGTTGGCGTTTTTTTGTTTTTTTTTTTACTCTTACTGAGGTTATTTGCGCTGTATTGGATTCTTTAACTGGTAGGTTTTACTTTTACGATGTGAGTTTCCATAGTGTTAATTGATTTGTGTGTCTCCTAACGTGTTGGATACTTTATTTATTTTCTTTCTGTACTTTTTGATTGTCTTTCTTTCTAGATCAGTGTTTTTACGTTCACCAAATTATTGTCTCTCTCATGATGATGATGATGAGCCGTGTGATGTGTGTGTTGGCCGTTGTGCTGTGCTGTGCCTGCGGGTGTGGTTTCTCTGTAATGGGAGAGTCTGTTTCGAAAAATGGTTTTGATTTTTATGCGAGTAGTTGGGAAGGGTTTCCTGGTAAGGATCCGAAACCAGAAAATGCAGATATACGTAATAGCGGTGGTATCCGTGAGGGAGAAAACCAACTACAGGAACAACGACAGCAATCATTAGGTGGTCATGGTTCAGTATTGGAAGAGATAAAAAATCAGGAGACTCTTCATGAAGAGTCTGATATGATCACTTCTTCTTCTTCTGATCATCCACCACAGATATCCCCTAACCATGACAGTGACGGTCATCAGAACTCTCTCAGTCCTGACAGTACACTGGAGTTACCCAGGCCAAAAGAAGCACCTCAAATACATGTTACAGCAGAAAAAGAATCTTCACCAGTGAGTGCTCCTTCTATAGGGACAGTATTACCATCAGGGGCTTCAGAGACACTCACAACCACATCTACAACAACAGCCTCAACAACACCTGGAGATGTTGATTCCACACAAACCAATTTACCAGCTGAGTCTGCAAAACCCACAGATATGAGTAATGCCAATGATAATATTACTGCGCAGCAACCGTCTCCAGCAGCGGAGAGCACTCTATCCAGTGATGTTAATTCCGGTAACGAATTCAATGCAGCTCCAGGTACCTCTCCCACAGCAGCTGCACAAGAGAATGGCAATGCTGATTCAACGGCGACCACCAACATTAACAGCGAAGCACCAACTACCACTCCATCTCCTCTAACCGACCCACCGATCAGCAAGATCGCTCCCACCATGAAGAACAAGGCTAATGTTGACAGCAGTGTCAGTCCTGTGTGGATGCGCACTGCAGCATCGCTGTTGATTGTGGCTGTGTTGTTCTCCGTTACCGTGTACTGAACGGTGGGACTCATCTGAGGACAAAGAATAATAATGGTTAATATTAACATAACCATAATTGCATACATCCCCCATGGGTGAATAAATTAATAATCTGTTTACTAGCTTTTTCTCTTTTAATTGGAATATCTTTTCTTTTCTTTTCTTTTGTGTGTGTTTATTTTTCTAATAATTCCATTACTTGCTTTTTCCGTTGTGTGTTTGCAGAAAACTGGGCTGTTCTGCTCACTGACGGTATACATCTCTTGCTAGTACACACAGATGTGTCTGTGGAGTAATTTAATACATAAACTAGAGCCGTGGGGTATTGTCTGTGTTTGTTTGGCTCTCTCTCTTATTTGGGTAGTGTGGGTGTTGTTTTCTTTTTTCGTATTAAGGGGTACATATTATTATCATACAAGCTGGATATTCCTTTTTGTTGCTTTACTGTGCAGTTGCTGCTTCTCTTTCTACTGTGAGTATTTGTTGTACTCTTGTATGTTTGTTTGTTTCTTTTTTTCACTCTCTTCTTTATTCTGCATTCCATTGAAGTAAACACAGGTGTAACGATATCCACAATACCTGCGACCATTGGAATAATAATAATAATGATGCGCTACGTGCTGTGTATCCTCGCTCTCCTGCTCTCATGTGCGTGTGTGCACGTCCTCGCTGAAGAAGTGCCTGCCGCCGATCTTTCCGACCAAGTCCCTGATACGGAGAGTGAGACAAAGATTCTTCTTCCTTGTCTTGCTGGTAGTGAACCTACTGCTGAAAAACCATGTGTACGTGCCCCTCCTGATGATAACAATGGGTTGAAAGTTAATCAGGAAAAAAAACAATGTGAAACACATGGTAAAGAAGGAGAGAAACAAAACTGTGAAACACAAGCCCAAGATCAACATATAGGCGAAGACGACGACGAAGAAGAAGAGGAAGAAGTGGTTCAAGAAGAAGAAGACCCTAATAACACTACACCACAAACCATAAAAGACAAGGAAAGTGGAGGTGCTCCTGCGGAACCTGGGACACCGTCCAAAGACCAAATTGAGGTAACTTCACCTCAACAGGTTGATGGACAAGTTCTTAAGGGTCCCAAAGGTGACTCAAGTAAACCTGGTGGAAGTGAAGTCCCTTCTCCATCTGGTGAGGCACCTAGTGGTCCGACTGCAATTGACGGTCAACGTGAAAACAGCGACAAGGCGGCAGGTGGAATCCCACCAAACGTGGAGAGTGCAGGAGAACAGCCTTCTTCTACCAGAACAGAGACGGAGAGTGCTACTGGTACTGTCACTTCAACCGCGAATGGCGCTACAACTGCAGCGAGTGAGTCAGCGAAGGAACCTGACAGTACAGCCAGTGATGAGGAATCAACAAATAACACAACACCCACCATCACCACCACCACCACAACAACACTTCCTCCTGGACTCACAAACAACAAGAAGAGTGATGCAGACAGCAGCAGCAGTATCAGCAGTTCTGTGTGGGTGCGTGTTCCACTACTGATTGTGGTTACACTGTCCTGTATTGTTGTGTGCTAATTGTGGTGGTGGTGGTGGTGTGACTCAGGTCATCCTTTGTTTTCTTTTCTTTTTTTGCATGCATCCCTACAGTCTAACTAATCTTTCACCTGTTGGGATAATCTTCTTTTTTTTGTTTCTTAATGTTAATGTATTTTGTGTGTGTTTTTACTCTCTATATTTATCCTATAATTATTATTATTGCTACTCCAGTGTGTGTGTGTGTGTGTTATTGGAGACTCTCTGTGTGTGTGCACCTGGGCTTGCACTGTGATAATTATGATGAACTGATTTTTGCAGTGAGAGAAAGAAATAATAATAACAGATGAATTTATATTTATAATTGCTTAGACACACATATAGACTTACACCCCTAGTTGGTGTGTATCTCTATGTGTTTATTGGTTAAATTGGGCTAATGGTTAATATCTGTTTTGTTTGCTTGTGGTTTGCTGGTGCATTGTGTGTGCTTTGGCGTGCACCGTTGTTGTGATATGCTTTCTGCAGAGAAAAGAAAAAAATAGTGATTTATACAATTTGTATTCTTAATTGCTTGAACAGACCAGTGTATATAGAGAGTTTTGCTATTTTTGTTCGGTTGTTGTTGTTCTTAATTTGTTTTTTTTCATACATTTTTTTGTTTGGGCGCATTGTGGTTTCGGTGTCAATGTTACGTTGAATTGTTTTGTGCAGAGAGTAATAAAAAGGGAGTTCATATATATATTAATAGTTTTGCACATGGTTCTACTGAAAGTTGAAAAGGTTTTTTTATTTTTGTGCTTCTGATGGTCTCTCTCTTGATTTCATTTTTTCATTTTTGAGGGGTTAATTGTGCTTATCTGTTTATTAATGGGTATTGTGTGCTTGTTTCTTTTATTTGGACACTATCTGAGAGATAGTTGCAGATTTCCGTTATGCCTAATCTGCTATTACCCTTTTCGTTTTGTTCTCTTTATGTGCTTTTCTTTATTTATGTTTTTGTTGCCTCTTTCTGTTTTTCTTTTTCTTTGGACTGCTTAATTGATATAGTAACACCAACAAAAAAAAGTAATGATGGCAATACGTCATCTCTTTTGTGTTCTGACTATCGCACTGTGTTGTCTCTGCAGTTGTGTGGTAGCTGCTGACGAAGCTGAAGCTAAAGCTCTTGAGGCCAAATCTACGGAACTTGGTTCTGAGGGTCCACCAGGTCCTGGTATTGGGAAATCTAAGACTTCTTCATGTCCATCTACTTCACCACCTGGTGCTGATACTTCTCAGTGTTTAGAAAGTAGTGGTGAAGAACATAATAATGAACGTGTTAACCGTGATCATTCACAGGAACAGGTACAGCCGCTTAGTCCAGCGATCAACAGAAATGGAGACCATCGAGAAGAGGGAAGTGTTAGCAGCGGTACGAAAAATGGACTCACCATAGCAGGCCAGAAAGCGGTAGAAAACAATGCACATGTTGGTGTGGTACCTGGAAGAGCAGCTGGTGATATTACTTCTAATGCTGATTCTGCACGTGGAGAGCCTGGAGTTACTGCTGTTGATGTTAAAACTACTTCTCGATCACGTGAGACTCCTCCACGTACAACTGAACATATTGATCCCAAGATTGATGGAGGAGAAGCGTTGGGTTCTAAAGCACAGAATGAGGATGACTCTCCAGCTGCTGATCACGGGAATGAGAGACACGTAACTGCAGAGGGACAAGCTGAGAAATTGGAAACCCCACCACAAGGGAGGGATGATAGGAGTACAGGGAGAACTACAACATCTTCAACTACTGAAGTGAGCAGTAAAGGAACTGAAGAAAATAACGGGAATCAACAAGCAGAAGGAAATAGTGTTCAGTCTACTACAGAAACTTTACCTGCACCTACAGAAGGTGATGCAACGAGGGATAATGTCAACACAACCAATAATGAAGAATCAACCACCACCACCACAACAACAACAACCACAACAACAACACTTCCTCCTGAACTCACAAACAACAAGAAGGGTGATGCAGACAGCAGCAGCAGTATCAGCAGTTCTGTGTGGGTGCGTGTACCACTACTGATTGTGGTTACACTGGCCTGTATTCTTGTGTGCTGATTGTGTGGTGGTGTGATGTGACTCAGGTCATCCTTTGTTTTTCTATTATTTGCATACATTCCCACAGTCTAACTAATCTTCCACCTGTGGTAATTTCTTTTTCTTTTTTTGTTTATTAATGTTATTGTGTTTTGTTTTATTGTCTTTATTCTATATATGCTACTATGAACTCTGTGCTTGGGCTGTTGTATGCTTTACCCAGTATAGTGGGATAGTCTGCTTTTTGGAATGAGAAAAGAAATAATAATAAAATATGTATATGTACATGCGTAATGGGGTATACAACTATTTAAACCCATAGTTGGTGTATTTCTTTCCTTTAGTTGGTTAATTGAGCTTATTATTAATTTGTTTTCTTTTACTATTGGTTTTTTCTTGTGCCCTGTGCTTTATGCAGCACTGTTAGATTTCTTTGGTTTGTACAAAGGAAAAGTCATAAAAAAATACATATACACCTATTTATTTGTAATTATATATATGCTGAAAGACGAAGATACTGTTATATATTTGTTTGCTTTCTTCATCAGCTGTTCGTAGTTTCGATTTTTTTCTTTTTTTCTGGGAAGTATGGGATCGTCTTGTTTCATGCTGGATACTGTGGGCTTGTCCTTTAATTGAACTATGAGTGATGGTGGAGTATTCTTTTTTCGGTGTTACTGATTTTTTTTTCGTTTGCTCCTCATGTTGTTTTGTGTGAGTGATTGTTGTGTGTTGTGCTCTCCTTTGTTTCTCTCTGATTATGTATTTCTAATGTATTGAGTGTTTGTATTAATTATCTTTATCTCTTCTTCTTTCTTCTGCATTCAAGTAGCCTATAGCAACAAAGTAAATCTTGCTGTCGTGATGATGTGTCGTGTGTTGTGTTTTCTCGTTTTGCTGTTGAGTGTTGTCTCTTTGTGTGTGACAGCTGAGGCGGGTTCTGAAACTCATACAGTTGGTCCTGATGTTCCATGTCCTGAAGGTACTGAACTTCCTAGTGATAAACCTTGTACTGCTCCTCCTCCTACTGGTGGTAAGTGCACTGAAGGTGCTGATCCTCCTGATGGTGAAAACACTTGTTCGCGTACTACTTCTCCTGTTCCACCACCACCTCCAGGTCCACCACCACCACCTGGTTCTCCTCCTGGTGGTGAAAATGCTTGTACTTCAGACAACACTAATCCTCCGTGCTCTACTAGCGGTAGTAAACATGAAGCTGCTCGTGCTGAATGTGCGGAATCTTCAGAGAAGGATGGTTGTACTACCCCTACACTTAAACCTACGGGCAATTGCGGTGACGATGGTAAAACCACTTGTCCACCAAAGGCAACGCAAGAACCGGGTCAACCTACACCTAATCCTCAAAAAGAAGGTCATCCTAATGGTAAACCAGGTCCAATTGGTGCTTCTGGTGAACAAGGAGAATCTGCGGCTAGTGAGGCTGTATCGGGTGTTGTTTCTTCTTCTTCTTCTGAACCTCCTTCTCCTGTTACTGGTCCTACTACTCCTGAGGTGAGTGTTGGTGAGTCTTCAGGTGATGGCCAATCTGGAAACAGCGGCGGCAGTACAACAGAAGAGAGTGGAGATAACAATGAAACAGCGGCAACACAACCTTCTGCTGACTCTTCTAACACTTCGGCCCCAGTGAGTGGTGATGGTTCAGATACTGGAACAGCAGTGAATGGCACTACACCTGCAGGGAGTGAATCATCAAATAACCAAGAAGGTGATGCAGAAAATACAGAATCAACCACCACCACCACAACAACAACACTTCCTCCTGAACTCACAAACAACAAGAAGGGTGATGCCGACAGCAGCAGCAGTATCAGCAGTTCTGTGTGGGTGCGTGTACCACTACTGATTGTGGTTACACTGGCCTGTATTCTTGTGTGCTGATTGTGTGATGGTGCTGGTGGTGGTGGTGTGACTCAGGTCATCCTTTGTTTTTTTTTTCTTTTTTTTGCATGCATCCCTAAAGTCTAACTAATCTTCCACCTGTTGGGACTATCTCGTTTTTTCTGTTTCTTAATGTTAATGTCTTTTGTGTGTTTATCCTATAATAATTATTATTGCTACTCCATTGTGTGTGTGTGTGTGTGTTCTTGGAGGCTCTCTCTGTTTGTGTACCTGGGCTTGCACTGTGATAATGATGTTGAACTGCTTTTTGCAGTGGGAAAAAGGAAATAATAATAACAGATGAATTTATATTTATAATTACGTATATACACACATATAGACTTACACCCATAGTTGGTGTATTTCTATGTTTACTGGTAAATTTGGGCTATTTGTTAATGATGCTTTATTTGCTTGTGCTTGCTGGGTATTGTGTGTGCCTTTTATTGTTATGTTGTTGTGGTTTAGGGGTAAAACGAAAGATTACTGGTACACATTTACATTCATAATTGCTCATTGTTTTATGTATTCCGAGGGTTCTGGGTTGCTTGTTTGTTAAATGGTGCTTTGGTTCTTCTCTTTTTTTTCTGTTTTGCTTGTGCATTATGCGTTGTGCAGCTTTTTTGTTTTTTTATTGTTTGTGTTGGTGCTGTTGTTGTTTTTACAGTTTTATGTCTTTTTATTCTGTTCCACTGTCTTCTTCTGTATATACCTTCGTCTCTCTTCTCTATCGGTGTTTTGTTTTGTCTTTTCATTTCGTTCTTTCTCTTATTGGAGACAGCAAAACCAGAAGAAAAACTATTATTTTGATGATGTTGCGTTGTGTATTTTGTTTTCTGGCTTTTCTCTTGAGTGTTGCCTGTGTTTGTCTGGCGGGGTCTGATGCTGGGGTTGATCCACCACCACCTCCACCACCTCCCCCACCTCTACCAGCTGCTGGTGGTCCTTGTCCTGAAGGTGTTAAACCTTCTGATGAAAAACCTTGTACACCTGCCCCTTCTGGTGCTAAAGCTGAATCTCCTGGTAGTTGTCCTGCAGGTCACACTCCTTCTAATGATGAAACTTGTTCTGCCTCTCCTGCTGTTGGTACTTCTTCACAGCCTGGTGTTTCTCCTTCTCCACCTGTTGGTGGTGGTAAAGATTGTACTCAAGGTAAGACTGATCTTCCGTGCCCTACTACCGGTAGTGAACGTGAAGATGCTCCTACTGAGGATTGTACGAAAGCTTCAGGGAGAGGCAATTGCGTAGCTAATGGTCGTGACGGTGAAGGCAGGTGCAATGAAGGTTCTAATCCTAATTGTTCTTCAGCCAGAGGAACGGATCAGGCTTCTCACAGTGAACCCGGTTCTATTGGTTCTCCAGGTGTTCCTGTTACTTGTTCTGGCGCTACTTGTGCTTCTGTTGCTGGTGGTTTATCTGGTGGGGGTACTCATATTCAACCTCAAACTAAACGTCCCGCGCAAACACCTGCACCAGCTGAAACACCAAAACCTGCCGGAACTAATGCTCAAGAAGGCCCTCAAAGTCCTTCCGATAAACCTGGTACTGAAGCTTCTGATTCTCACGTTGAAGGAGCTGGAGATGCTGGTGCCGGTTCTGACGCTGCTGCCTCTGAGGGGGGTGGTGGTGCTTCTCCTGCAGGAGACCCGCAATCTGGAGAGAGTGGAAGAAATGAAAATGGAGCAGCGAATACATCTTCCCCTGCCAATTCAGACACTGAGGGTAGCAGTGGTTCTAGTGCCGCAACA